GTCAGAACAACAAATCAATTTTTACTGGAAAGTCATGTAAGGGTATATACGCCACCCAGATCAACAGAGAGGGTCTAAGTCCACTGTTACAGATGGATGGAGCAGGCACTTCTTGCTGGCCTAGCAAAATGGCCATCAAAAAGCTCTGAAAAACTGAAAGGTCCCTAGAGCAAAGGCAAAAGCAGCAGTCTGCCACTGAAAGGACACTTCCTAGCACTGTCCAATCCCCCCATTCCCCCCCCCATTTGTCATTTGGTCACAGAAATCTGGATTTGCTAAAACAGATCAAAGCCCTGGTTGGAAAGAGCTGCAGGATTGCCTCCCATGTTGGCTGATGCCATCACCTCCACGAGATGAGATGCACAAATCTTACATCACCACAGTGCCACCAGCTGACCACATCTAGAGGAAACTCCTCATTGACCCCACACAGATGTTTAGTCTTCTCCAAATTCGCTCGTTCGCACATGTTCTTATCAAAGCAACCCTTGCCTTGCTTCAGGAATGTGGCTAGGGAAGAGCAGCTGACTACAGTCACCTCTGAATTTCACAAGCTGGCAGAACAGTTTTCCTTTCAGACACCCTAACCGTACCCACAGCTATTGGCATTAAGTGGCTTGCCCCTCTTTACCCCAAAAAATGCAATCAAAACCACATTTCTGGTCAAAACCTTTTACAACACTTAAAACATCCCTCCCTCCAGTCTTCCTTTCTTTCTATTGTCCTCTTTGGCATATATCAACCTTTCCAGCAGGCTTTTCCCCCTCTTCCACAGGGATAAGTGTGTGGTGCCCATCGCTGTGGTACCACAGCTCCTCACCACCAGATGCACCAACATGTCCTGCCCAAGACCCCCAGCGAGGCAGGGACAGGGCTGGGGCCTGAGTTTTGTCAGGGTCGGAAACACAACCCCTCTGGGGCAGACAGCCATAGCTGAACACTGAAATACAATGCGTTAATAAGTAGGTCAGCTTGTTCCTATAAAAGCAACGAGTTTAACGCCGACCGTGCCTGCCAGCGGGAGTAGGAAGCGACTGCAGGTTTTTTGACCAGTTTCCCACATTCAGCCCCTTCGAAGCCACGGCACTCCTCCTCCTCCTCTGCCGCTGCCCTCCCGTGAGGAGCCCGCAGCCTCGCTGTACCTTGGCCCCCAGCAACTCCGCCTTTGCAGGGCTGCGGTCAGGAGCCACTGCTGAAACCTTGCACCAGAAAGCAAATTCCAAGAAAACAAACACTATCACTAGGCAATTGAAATGCAGTTGGTAGCAACAAACAAACCGGCTGCAATGAGTATCTAGGGCTCTGTTCTTGCCAACAGGTTCAACAGGTTTTGAATATTAAGTCACCTCGAGCTTTATTAGTGCCTAAAAGGGAAATGCTTCAAAGATCTTGTCACTTGGGGCTTCACCACTGTCCCTGCTTTAGTGTGGCTCCCTCCCTTCCTTTCCCTCCCTTTGGCACAGAAGTATTCTGATCCTCTTTAAATTAGTCAAGAAAAACACTTCCCTCCTGTCCAAGTAAAACATTTAAGCGTCCCGACATAGTGCCCGCACCTGAAGCAGGGCCGCATGCAGGCGCCCGTGAGAAGGGAGAGCGGGAACACTTTTCGGCTTGTGTGAGTTTTCAGTTACAGAACGAAGAGGACGTTGGAGCGAAAGGTGGTGCTCAGGCAGCATGCTGGGCCTTCACCCGGCTGAAGCACACGGGGCTGCCTGCTCGACCCAGTCCTGCATGATCCCACCATAAAATCCTGGAGCTGAACCTTATCCGCACGGCTTCTTCACCTTGACACAGCCAATACTGAAAGCTCTCCTGAATGGAAGGATCATCGCTTGCAAAGGATACCTTTGTTTTAATAAAGGCTCTAATACACTCTTGTCATTTTCTTTCAATATAACAGCAGTCAATGGCATTTACTAAATACAGCGCAAAAGGCAAGAAAGTTCATTCAAACGTTTCTTCTACTCTCAATGAAGCAGCTCACTATGACGCCTCTGCAAACGGATCTCCGTGCATCAGCCCAGTGTGGCATCGTGTGGACCGCAAGACCACAACACAATGCCCAAATACCATCTGCTCCTCCCATGAGCCGGTCTTGAAAGTCTTTAGCTTTTGTAAACAACTGCTGGTCCATTTTATTTTGAGATACTGCACAATGTAGCAGAACACACTTACAAGCTGAGTATAATCAAAAGCTTTATAGTCTGCTAAACTTGTTTTAAATAATGCATAAATACCAAAAAAGACACACTGTGCTCTGCATCAATTTTCATGTGAACTCAGTTCTCTGTTGCATTTTCTGTTTATAGCAGCACGGCTTTAAACCACAGAATAAATAGTATTATTTTCTGTTCCCTTTTAGCTGTAGTCCAGAAACATACACTACATTTAATTACTGTTTTGGTAGAGTCCACCTACGCAGATGGGCTGTGCTTGCATGAATCAACTGGTATCTCTGGATTCAGAGCACAGAAGAGGTTAAAAAAAATGAGGGCACTTATGTCAGCCCCTCCTTCCTCTCCCCTGCATTTCATCACACTGAAAGGGTTTAAAAGTAAAAAATTCCTTCCACATCATATAATCCTGGCATCTGCTGTGCAGCAAATCAAGCTCACTCATTTTGCTGTGTTATTCCCAAAAGTAACTGTACAGATTCAGGTCTAGAACTCCATTTTCCACTCCCTGAAGTTTCCAAATACCTGTTTTTCCTATTTAGGCACATCAGAAAAAGTAGTAAACATAGCTAGTAAATACAAAGCAATCTTCTCTGTCTAAGTGCAATTCTGATTGCATTACTTAAGAAATATAATTTCCTGAGGCTTTTTTACTACCTTACTTTATGATACACATGATACGGTATATCAATCTACCAACTTCCTTCTGCTGCCCCTTTCTTCAGCGGCCAGCAGCTCACCCGTGACATTATGTAGTTCAAATACGAAGTGCCATTACCAAGATTAAGCCACAGAAGGAATCCAGTCTAGAGAGTGAGTAGGTCGCTGTGGTCATGTTTATTATTTAATAACAGTGGGAATAATTCATATCACAGCAACAATTCTCTGCCACTCCATTTATCAATTTCAAAGTAAAGCACATCAGACCTCCAGGCAGTGACGGCAGACCGAAGGCTCAATCCATCCCGGCTCCCTCTGTTAAGCCCATGACCCATATTCAAGGCTGGACTCTAGAGTAAGATATACGGGAGCAGTCCTTCTTCACTTACACCTATGTCCAGCAAACCTGAGCCAGGAAAACCCTGGGAGTAGCACAGCCTCAAATTCACATCCTATTTCCATGCAGACACTGTCATTTCAGGTAATGTGTTTCATCCTCCCTTTTAATGGTTGAAATTTAATTTTTCTCCTTTGCATGGGCTGCCTGGCTGGTATACTCACTCTGCAAGCTTTTTGAGGCAAAGACTGTCTTGTACTACATGTGTCTCGATTGACAATAATTGCTGCAGTAGTCATGAGGTCTACAATTTCTCATATTTTTTAATGTGACTGAATAAGAAACCTAATGTCCTCACTAACACCGTTCTCAGAAATATCTTCTTTGCAAAACAGGGCAGCATCTCAGTCATTAAGCTAACATAATCATTAATTTTCTTCTTTAACATGCTTTCCTTCACACCTTTGCTATTTGTTAATGTGATTTTCAATACATACTGAAGCTTCAGCGAAACAGAAACAGGAAGGAGAGGAAGAGCTGACAGTAAAACTTAAACCTTTATCCCAAGAATCCCCCCATTCTTACACATCTCACAGATGAGACATTTCACTTCCAGCTTGCTTTTTCCTACAGGCCTTTATCCTGTGGCCTCAACAATTGATGAACTACTAACTGGGTTTCCAAATCCTTACAACAGGGCCAAGGTTTTTGCCTTTTTGTTTGGCTAATCTTTTCACATCTATTTGCCTTGCTACCAGGACAACTAAACAGCACATAAGTGATTTGGGTTCATTCAATAGATTCCAAATTGGGAGCCTGCCTATTTTGTTTGCTTTAGGGCAAAAGGAGGAAGCAAACAGCAGCTTTGTAAGTGAAGTTGCTGAAATTCTTCTCTCAATTATGGCTGTGAAAAGATATAGAAATGCAAAGTACTCTTTACAAACAGAGTCACTTCATGCTGATCCAACTTGTTTCAATTCACTTTAACTTGATTCCACCTCTAGAAGTGGTTTAACTTTGATACCTACTATGGTTTTTTACATTTAGACCAATTGTTTTCAACTCAGCAGGACAAACTAATGTTAATAAGTCCCATTTAGTTTTGAGTATTTGCTTAAAAGGAGGGTGGGAGCTCACAACCAACAAACCCTGAGGCTATAACCAGCTCTCTGGGTGCCCAATGCCATCTTCTCATTTGTCTGACCAATTCCCAGTGCTGTTTAATACTTCTAAGACTTTTCCACTAAGGTGGAAAAGAAAAAGCTACTTTAAAAGGTCTAAAAAAACCCACAAAAGCATTTTTTAACAATTGCTTCCCAAGGATGCAATGCTGCATAATAATTTTGCAGAGTAGCTGCAGCAGGCAATCAGGTCTGGCATATGCTAGTTCAGCTGCAGTTTGAAATGGGTCCTGCTTTGGAGCACAACTTTACTGCTCCATGACTTCATGGCAGTAATTTGAAGACTTCTTATCCAACATAAAAAAAAAAAACCCCAAACCAAAAGGAACCCACTTGAATCAACATATTCTTTAATAGTATAAATGCATTTTGAAACTTTCAAAGTTCATTCAGCTTCTTCCCAGCCTGGCCCTGGCAACTAAACAAATAAAACACACATCATGGCAAGCGGCCAGAGTAATATCGCAGCTAGGAATCCCCTTTCTTTAAAAGTCCACCCAATTGAACGAATAAGATTCAGCATTTCTTACATGGGTTTTAAACACCAAACAATTCCTGCATCTTCACTGAAAGGACACTCTCTCTCTCTTACAAAATTCTGCAAGGAGTGGAGTCCAAGAGCAAGGGACACAGAGAGGCTTAACTCACTTGGCTCCTCCAGCAGAGTAGGGGCATCTCCCCTTTCAGCTACTCCATAAGCACCACAGGTATTGGCAGAGGACTGTGAATTCAGCAACGTCATGCTGGGATGTAAAACTCCACAGCCACTAACACACAACTACCAGAAAGTCCCTAACGGTGCCTTACTACTCCAGTCCTTATTTAATATGTGCTCAGAAACAGTCATGGAACCTATACGATTAAAAATTTAAAAATTAAAAAAAAAAAAAAAAAAAGATGTGATTATTGTTGCGGGGCGGGGGGGGGGAGGGATGGAGGAATGGAAGAAGCAGAGAGGAGGAACAACACATTTCTTACCTGGTAACACCACCTGAAGACGTGTAAGATAAGAACCAAAAAGATGCTGCCTCAGAGGCCCAAGAAATTCTGGGCAACTGGTCAGGCAAATACGAAACCATACAACCGATACAAGATTCACAGACCTGGAGGGGGATGGAAGTTTGCTCCTTTGTAAACTGAACGTAGAAAGTCAACTAAAAAGCCGTGAACAGACCTCCACAAAGTTGACCCAACTTTAGTTTCTGGTGTCGATTACAGCCCTACAGAGACATACATCCCCCGCACTTCCCACACGAAGGTTCTTGCGTTACACAAACACTACAAATGATTAAAAATTACACGAAATTTTACAAAATTACATGGTATGCTTCTGCTTCTGCTGCCAGCCCCAAAGTGTTTAGCACACTGTTATGCTATCAAGTTTTGTACTCTGTGCCAGTCACTCCCCAAGGTGTTTATGTGAAGCACTCAGGCAAAATGAACAGAACATCTGTATTCTATTTGCTAATGAGCAATCATCATTTCTACAATTCTCCAGCCAGGGATTTTGCTGTTTGGAATACTAATGCTATTTAAAAAAATTAAAGGAAAAAAAAATGTTCTGCTCATTAGTACTACGGTTACTAAAATACTTTTGCACTATTTACAATGCAACCAGGCTTCCATTTCCATTGCTTTCCAGTATTTTTACAAAATTAGAGCTTTCAGAAATAAAAACTTTGATGATATATACTTAATGTATTTTCAGAATTAGCATCATTTGCAACGCAGCTCTTGCTTTAATTACATTTTACCCACACAGAGGCAAGGATTTAAAATAAACTATTATAAAACCTTTTCAAACACACCCTACTGAAGATTCCTTTCATCGCTTGCTTTTTATATTGTGGCAGCACCCACAGCAGGCTAGATGAGGTAAAAAAAGAGTTATAAAAATACAGGCCACAGTCTACAAACTTAATTATATGAAATTCCTATGTATGCAGAGAGAGTGAGGGAACACAACAGCTTTGAAAGTAGGACGTGTTTTGTCTGTAGACAGAAACAGCTATCAGTTTCCCTTCTAACCAACGGGTATCTGCATCACATGAGGACCAGGATTATTCTCTGACAGAAAGGCCGCATCCTGAAAACAGCAATGTGCAAGGGAGCACTCCTGGCTGCCTCCCCTCACTGAAGCACTTGGGCACTTCAGATGTGAACCTCCCTTACCATCCTGTGCATCAGAAATGATTCTGCTGAAGTCAGTGAAGAGCAGCAAATGAGATCAGAATGGGATATTAAAGTCGACAAACTCAATTAAAGTAGCTTACATAATAATCGTCTTTATACTTTGCTCATGGCATACTGAAATGTAACTTACCAAGCAAGAGAAAGACAACTAAATACAGGATTTGATTGATCTCACTAATAAAGTCCGACGTGGTACTCATGCTCTTGTGTGGGAGCAGGTGAGGTGTAGCTTTCCTGCTAGGCAGAAGGAACACAGTACACCAGAAATATCTGGTTTTCCACACAGGAGCAGGTGTATTTCAATATGCCATAATACTCTTTCAGTCCAAGAATAAACACCCTCATCCTATGATCCAAATTGCATCAGGTAGGGTCAGTACATTTCAATCCCCGATGAGTTGCTCAAAGGCAACTCTGCTCCCCAACAGGATGAGATTGCTGCTGCTGTAGCCATTTCCTAGCAAAGATGTTGCGATGGCGTGTTTCTGTTCTCGGCTGGGGAGGCTTTCTATTGCCATGGCAACCGGCAGTGGTCCACACACCACAGAGGACCACATCGCATCACCCTGGCAGGACAGGAGACGCTGTGCCATACTTAAAAGTCACCTTCCTTAAAGACAAAACAACACAGAAGAGAGCAAGAGAACCACGACTCTCACGGATGCTGGATGAAATAATCTGCTCACCACAAACCTCTCCCTCGCCCTGCACGGTCGGCTGCAGACTGTGCTTTAAATCACTCCGAGGGAGGTGTTTTGTTTGACTGAAACACCCAGCTGGCCTCATTTCGGTCAGCCAGACAGGAGGCAGCCTTTGTTTTTTCAGCATTTACCTTGCCTTTTAAGCAGTCGCCAACCAACTTGGAAATAAATACACCTCTCTCCTCCTCACAGAGCTTCCAGCCGGCAGCAGAGCCAGATCCAGCTGGTGCAGAGGAGCCTCAGAAAGCAGAAGGTCCCCAAAGCCCCCCACATCTCAGCCAAGTAGCTGAGGCAGACCAAAACCAAAGCTAGATGATAGGCAAGAGCAAGTAATTGTTTCCTGCGCCATGATAAGGTAACTTGGACCTGTCCCCTTCTGCCCTCAGATTGCAGGCTGCTCTACCCAGGGCAAAGAAAAATGCACTACCAGGACTACTTCAATCTGGTTAAAGCGTTCTACATCTGTTTAAGAAAATAACACAAATCTATTTTAATACATAGCTGACCACAAACCGTAACTCTCTTTCACTTCCCCAGAACTAATTATATACATGTCACCAGAGTATCCTACATCTCTCTCTTTCCACCTAGAGAACACATTTTTCACTGCCACAGCCTAACACATTATATACTGAACAGTACTCTCCATGCAACAGTTTACGGAAAAAGCCCCTAGTCCTTCAAGTGATGTGTGTACTTTTATAAACTTACCTAGAAGTAACACTGAGCTATAGCAGTTATTATTTAACAACACATCCAACGAGGAAAAATAAACCACACACCTTATATAAATATCGATAAAACCCTTTCTTCTTACTGTGTTAATAGTAGCCTACATCCACACCAACGGCAAATATAAAAGAACATCGTGTACCGGCACCAAAACAGCCAGCGTGCCTTTACTGTGAAAGTAAAGCATGAAACCACGTTTAAAGGCAACGAAGTTAAAACCTGACCCATACTAAACACAAAGCTGCAGTTCACTTTAAGGTACAGAATTTGTGACCTCACAGTTTGAGCAAAGCTGCAAAATTATCTGTAGAGGGACAGGAGATTCTTTCAAAGGGAAATACAAGAGTAAGCACCCCAAAGAACCTGGAAAACCTCAGAAGCTATTGAGGGAAACTGTTAAACTGACCATGCATAAAAGCCTGTGATAAACAAAATAGCGGGGAAACACCAGACTGAAAGACCAAAAAAGAAAACAGTTTACGCAAATACAGAGTACCCTTCATTTGCACATCAGGATTCTCCTTCTCACTGTGAATAAAATGGATACCCAGAGGCAAAATTAGTTGTTTTCATCATGCAATGCCTAGGCAATTTTGCTAGAACATGCTAGCAAAGAAAAATGCCAATTCTGTTTCAAAATGCATTAGGATCATAAATATTGATGTGACTCCTCAATTTCAAGAACAGAAAAAACAAAACTAGTGTTGGAAGTTGAATGGCTCACACTTATCAAAAAGCAATGAATTAGAACTGAACAAAAAAACCCAAACATGAAAAAATACAGACAGGCCTTTGCCTCCTCTTAAATCTCCAAACATCCTCTCCTCCCCAGTATGACAGCATGTTCTTTGGGCCATTACTGGAAACATACTACAAATAGAACAGTCTGCAATACTGAGCCAACATCAAGAATCCACCTCTTAAAACTAAATTTTAAACGAAGCACTTTCATGAAAATTGAAAAATGGAAGGACACGAAAAAAATCTGATGGAATTCAGTGCAACACAAATAAGTTCGATAAAATGTTCAGCTTCTTTTTTAAGTCAAAGAGCCAGATCTAGAGGATGTTCTCACAGTAAGTCCACTAATGAGGAAGTCTGATGTTTCAAGCATAAAAAAGATAGTATATTCAAATTTTACGCGTGGGAATAAAGTCACCTACCTTCAAAGCACTTGTGACCAGCAGAAGTAAAGGGAGTTGAATCTTACTTTTTTCTTACATATTAATGAAGCAATGGTCACTCTCATCATTACTAAACTAGTTTAAGCAGTGTACGATTGTAATTAGGAGAGAACATTCATATGCTGGTCCCAAAAGGAGACACATACAAAGAGCATCAAGCAGCAGGATTGCAGGAAACATCTGAAAACCAAATGTGTGCACACAACAGAAAATGGAGACATTTGTTTATTGACAGTTGCAAAGTAGGCTGAACATTTTATTTACTGTTATCTCATTTTCAGTATTACACAGATCATTTGAAAGAGGGCAACAGGGATGTAAGTATAACAAGCATGAAGCACGTCCGTGTGCATACGTTTATGCTAACAACCACAGGGAACTTCAGCTCTTTACCTTCTGCCTTTTCCCTGCACGGGGCTGTGACAGCAGAACAGCTTCGGTGCATGCCAAGCATGCAGCACAGCCTCTCCTCCTGACCCACGTCCCTAGGCAGCTGCTGAGCCAGGCTGGCTGGCTGCTGGCTGCCAGGGTCGTTCCCTCTTTGGCAGCAGCACTGCCCACTTGAGACAGTTTGCAGCTCTCTGGCTTCTTCCCTCCCCACCCCTCTGAAGCGAGGGTTCACCTCTTTTTCCCCAGTCAAACCTTGGCTCTCAGTACAGAGAACGGGCAGAAAACACTTCTGCCAGCAAAAGACACAGCCGTGCACTGAGTGTTCCATGGTCAAACTTTTCAGGATGGGATAACGCAGTGGTAGGACATCTACTGCTACAGATATAAAGGCTTGAAATATGGAGTCCCCAAAACATCCAGCCATCTCACATTGTTGGATCCCTTTTAAGATGGAGCATTCAACCAAGTTA